TTTGCAGCGGTTTGGGCTTTGTTTTGTTTTGTTTTATTTGCGGGGTGGGGGGGGGGGGGGGGAGTTTTTTATCACTACAGAGGATAAAGAGTCTCATCACTGGTCCAACTGGCAGCACCATGATAGATGGAGAAGAGACTGAAGTTGTTAATAATTACAATTTACTTGGTTCCACAATCAACACTCTTGGCACCAGCAGTCAGGAATCAAAAGACAACTTGTATTGGGGAAAATCTGCTGTCAGGGACTTCTCCAGAGTACTGAAAAGCAACGATGTCAGTCTAGAGACTAAGGTGCCCCTAATCCTGGCCATGGTCTTTACAATTACTTGCTACATATCAGCGAGCTGGACAGTGACTAAGGATGACAGAAGAATCAATGTCTTTGAGTTAGAGTGCTGGAGAAGGTCTCAAACATACCATTGACCACCAAGAAAACGAACTGGTCTGTCATAGAGAGGGTGAAACCAAGTTCCTCCTTGGAGGCTAGGATTTTGAAGCTCTGTCTCACATACTTTGCACCCGAGGCCAGGAGGGACTGGTCCTTGAAGAAGGATATGCTTAGAAGGGTGGAGGGACAGCACAGGAGACGGAGATCCCAGATGAGATGGATTGATACAGTGACTGGGGCAATGGGGGTTAGTGTGTCAGAATCAGTGAGACCGGCTCAGGACATGGCAGGCTTCAGAGCTGCTGTACAGGGTCACAGATGACTTGACCGTACATAAAAACAACAGAAGATAGTGAACAAATGAGAGAGGAGACAGGAGAGAAGAGGGAGAAAGGAAAAATAACTGTAAGAGAATGGGTTAAAACCACATCAGTACCAGTGTCCAGGAGCGGGAGAAGAAGAGCTGCATTTAGGGGCCTGAGCCTCCGTCTTCTGACCTGCCTGGAATGGCTTCGAATAGAAAGGCAGAGAAAGGAGTCCAGAGGAGCCCCTGATCCCCTTTCACCCACTCGACAGGGTTCTAGTTGCCCCAGTATGCAAAGCAGCCTGGGAGGAAACACATTTGTCAGAGCTTTGGAACCTTGGTCAGGTTACTTAACCTCTCTGGCCTCAGCTTTCACACCTGAGCACCAGGGATAATGGCTTGCCCTTCCAGAGCATTTAGGAGGTTCAGGTAGGAATGTGGTGGAGCACCTGGCCCGGGCCCCGCCTTGAGAGATTCATGTCTGTGAGGTCTCCAGCCTGAAAAGCCCCCACCTCAACTCTCATCCTCCCTGCCCGCTGTCTGTGCAGGTGTTACCCTCCGAGGCAAGAAGCTTCAGCCCTCAACCCTCCCAGACCATCAGCTTCTCAGAACCCAGGCCCACACAAGATGGGACAAACATGTGCACACACACACACACACACACACACACACACACACACACACAAGCACACACACATTCCATCTCACCTCACACACTGGCACACACACACTCACCTTTTTTCACACTAGGCTACACACCTTACACATACATATAGCTCACACACAGACATACGCACACATACTCACAGACAGACACATACCCCCTACCTCACATCATCTCTATACACACCCCGTATTCATACCCATGCTTCATACTCGCTAACCTCACATGCTTGTAAACTCATTCTTGCACCTCTCACACAAATTCCACCTCTCACACCCTCAGATCCACTCACACACAGACACATACAACTTACATCCGACTTACACATCTAAGATGTGTGTACCCTCATATTCAAACACTGTCACACCCAATCATTCACACTTACACATCACATATACACACACACAAGCACAACACCAAGGGAAAAATCAGTGACCTGACCTGACGGTGAGGCTATGTTCATATTCACTTTCCAAACAAACAACAAAACCTATACTTGATCAAGCTTGAGGCTCTCTCCTAATCAGTGTTTTTAAAATAATAGGCACTTTGCCTGAACACAGCCAATAATTTCTTAAGTCTAGCCAAATTTAACTTTGTTTGTTTGTTTGTGGTGAGTATTTATTTTCCTCAAGCCAGTCTGTGCTTGGACAGTGTTTAATTGGCTATTTGAAAAGCCAGTGAGACATGCAGTCCACAATCCTTACAGCTGAGTCATCTGCCTCCCAACGTCTCAGTGTGTGGCAACGGCCAGAGTCCTGTCAGGAATTTCATTTGACAACACCATGGGGTTTCTCCTTCTGACCCATGATGCCCTGGGTACCACTGAGGAGAGAAGTCTCAATAACCTTCCCTTTACTTGTGTGTGAAGCTGCGACCTTTCTTACAAGTGTACACACACTCACATCCCTATTGTATGCAATCATGTATATCCCTACATTTACACATGTTGTGGACACTCTCACAAAGAATATAGAATATACCAGGGACTGCACAAAGCAGGGATAAATTGGTATTGTTGTTGTGTGCCATCAAGTCAGAACTGACTCATAGCTCACCCTCCAACTGATTTTCAGAGGTAGTTAATCGCATGGGAGGAGATTGCCCATCCTTCTCTGGAGCAGCTGGTGGATTCAAATTGCATTCCTTTGAGATTGTAGCAGTTTCTTAACACTAGACCACACGAGTTCCCTAAATATGTATATTGTTTGTTTTTGTTATGTGCCATCAAGTCGCTTGCGACTCATAGTGACCCTATGTACTACAGCCCTAAACCCTGCTCTATCCCATGCCAATTCTATTGTCTCCAACACACCTACCCCCATTACCCCAGTGATGGAATCAATCCATCTCATTGAGGGTCTTCCTCTCCTTCGCTGTCCCTCCACTCTCCCAAGCATGACATCCCTCCCCAAGGACTGAACCAGCTTTGCAACATGTCCAAAGTATGTCAGACAGAGCTTCAGAATCCTTGCTTCCAAGGAGCAGCCTGGTCTCACCTTCTCCAGGACAAACTTGTTTGTCCTCCTAGCAGTCCATAGTATATTCAATACTATTCTCCATCACCAAAGCTCAAAGGAAGGCATCAATTCTCCTTCTGTCATCCCTAGTCATTGTCCAGCTCTCTGATGCATAGTAAGTAACTGCAAAGACCATGGCCTGTACCAGGCACACCTTAGTCTCCAGACTGACATAGTTGCTCCTCAGTACCTTGAAGAGGTCTATGACAGCAGACTTTCCCAATTCAATTTGTCTTTTAATTTCCTGGCTGCTAGTACCAAGAGAAGTTCGAAACTCCTGAAGTCAAGAGATACTGCAGTAAGAAACTGGCAGCAGCTTGAGGCATTAAAAATCACAGAAGCCCAGAAAGATTGACGTATAGGCCATCACATCAAGGGCTGGATAGGGAAGATTGTTGTTGAATGGAGTAGGTTGGAGTAGATGTAAATGCTGGTGGAGCAGGGCAAGGGGTGGCTCAAAAAACACCTGGCAAGAGTGGGGACAACACAGAATCTGTTGGGTTTTTTTTTTCCTTTTACTGGTAAATATATTTCATCCACTCTTGGTAACAGCAGCCAGGAAATCAGGAGACAAATTGCATTGGGAAAGTAGGCTGTGAGGGACCTCTCAAGAGTACTGAAGAGCAATGATATCAGGCTGGAGACTAAGGTGCTCCTGATCTGGGCTATAGTCTTCGCAGTTATGTGCTATGCATCAGAGAGTTGAACAGTGAATAGGGTTGATAGAAAGAGGATTGATGCCTTTGAGCTGTGGTGCTGGAGAAGAGTGTTGAATATACCATGGACTGCTAGGAGAACAAACAGGTTTGTCCTGGAGAGGGTAAAGCCAGAGTGTTCCCTGGAGTCAAGGATTCTGAAGCTTCGTCTGACATATTTTGGGCATGTTACAAGGAGGGACTGGTCCATGTTACAAGGAGGGACTGGTCCTTGGAGAGAGACATCATGTTTGGCAGAATGGAGGGGCGGCAAAGGAGAGGAAGACCTTTGATGAGATGAATCGATTCTGTGACTGGAGCGGTGGGAATAAGTGCGTTTGAGATGGCTAGTTTGGCACAGGATAGAACAGCATTTATAGTTCTTGTACATAGGGTTGCTATGAGTCGCAAGTGACTCGATGGCACATAACAACAACTCTTCTCTGTAAAATGCTTATCTGTCAGATAGTGTTCTAAATTTGAGCAATCTAATTAAGACAGACTAGGAAGAAGGATTGGCCATCCAATTTCAAAATAGCAGGCCTTTGTAAACCCTGTGTATGTAACAATGTACAAATCTGTATAAGAAGAAATAAAAGCAACATGGTCCTTAGAAACAAAGATAGCAAGACGTCCGTTCATTTCCTTTAACACAGATCAGTGGGAAAGGCCAGTCACAAAAAAGTCCAAAACCAAACCAACAACAAACCATCATAGCTGGTAAAGCAGAGAGTCCATTAAAAGGAAGGAGACAGTCAATGGAATAGATTAACACGTCTGTAACAATGGATACATCCACACCAACAGTTGTGAAGATGGCAACATTTTGTTCGCTTAGACATGAGGTCACCATGAGTCAACATTGACTCAAAGACAACCAAAACCAACACATCCAAACGCACACTTTATAGACATACATAACATTAACACACATTTAGACCAATAAACAAGAACTGACTCACATACTCAGGTGTCAACATGGACATTCATCTTATTCACATATACTTTTCCCACCCTCAGAAACACCTTCACACACAATAGAAACATACCAAGGTCCCCACAAACTCATTAGCTTGTAGCCACATGGCTGCATATTCACAATGACACCCTTCCAAGTACACAGCCAGCCAGGTGCCCGGCAAATGCCACCAATTTATGAGATGGCTCAGCTCTGGGCCTTGCTCCCTTGAGGCTAATAAATGCAACTGACCCAGGAGTATTGACAAGTGGCTGAGTAGTAAATAACCCCAGACGTAAGGCTGCAATCCAGAGGTGGGGGCTGAAACAGGAAGTGGAGGCCCAGAGAGAGGAAGTGACAGGTCCAAGGTCTCACTGCCAGGCAGTGGGCTGGAGTTCAGGTCACACTAGGTTGGAGAAGGGCTGGGGAAGGTAAAGAAGGACGAGTGTCATTCAGAGTCTTTACTCACTGCTACTGGCCAAGATGGCGATGATGAAGAACTTCTTCAAAGCCAGACCAGACCTGCAAGAGGAAGAAACCCAGGTTCTGAGTCCGTCTTTTCCACTTTGCTGCAGCTCCAGACCTGCTACACCTTGTGAGCTCACTACAGGCTCCATTCGCACTCCCCCAGATGGCCCAGATGCTGCTGCCTAGCCCTGTGCTTAATTCCTCCAGGGAGATTCGACCATCTCTCTGTGCCCCTGGAGGAGCAGACACTGGGATGGCAGAGCGAGGAGGGACCCTCACACCTCCCACTCCAAGCAGGAACCCCACTCTGTACCAGCTCCAAGACAGGAAGTTTGTTGTCTTTTGGTGTTGGGCTACTATCTCGGATAACAGCCAATCTCTCTTGCACACACTGTCCTCAGACAGTGAGCAACAAACCAACCTGGTGGCTGACTCTTGACTCTAGAGATAAAAGTTCCTTGGGTCCTAGTCCCAGTTCTATTTCCCCAATGCTGTGTGATGCAAGGCAGATCCATTAGCCTCTCTGGGCTGCAGGTTTGACTAGATGATACCTAAGGCCCTCCCAGCCCAGGATATGCAGTGACATGTCTCAGCCCATCACTCTGAGAAGTAAAGTTCCCCTTTCTGGAGAAACAGATCCTAGGAGCCAGTCTCCTGCTACCCAAACCCTGATCCTCCAAGGAGGATCCCATCCCGGCACAGCAGACACATACCTGCATGTTCTCCAAGCAGAAGAGGCCCTGAAGCACGAGGTCCCACACCCAGAGGGGTGTCTAACCAGCACCTTCTTCCTGAACCCTTTGTGGTTGGCCTGCGCCCCATCTGCCATGTTCTGGATTCTGGGGTGCCAGTGACATAGAGCTCGCAAGGTCTGAGATCTGCTCTTATGTCTCCAGGGAGCAGACCCCAGCTTCACACTGCCCAGCGCATTGGCAGGGCAATGGCAGGGCAGTGGCCCCAGGCAAGAGACAGGTGACACATGCCCTAAAAAGGAGGCTCCTCCTCCTCCCTCCCACCTCCGTTGCCCTGCCCACACTGGCTGGCCAAGTCCCCACCCACAGCTGAGGTGTACTGTCTGCGGGGGCAGGGGTTTATGCTCCTCACAGGCATCAGCCCCTCCCTGATACATGTGTTCCCATCTGGATTACAGGCCCCTCCATGTGGAAGGGTAAGTCCACTCATATCTGAGGGGGTCCTTTCTTAGTTTCTCAGTGCTGCTGTAACAGAAGTACTGGTACGCAGCCTTGAAGAACAAACATTTCTTTTTCTCACGTTTAGGAAGCTAGAAGTCTGCATTCGGAACCCTGGCCTTCTCTGTGCTCTTTATCTGTGAAGTCTTTATCTCACCTCTTCTAGTGTTCACCCCTCCTGATATTCCTCGGAGCTCTCTAAGCTTCTTTTAGAGTTCTTCCAGTGCTGCCTTCTCCAAAGGGGTTGACTTAAGGCAAAACCTACACTGATAGGGCCTCATTAATATGACCAACAAAACTTCTTCCCAAATGATGTTACAACCACAGAGATAGATATTAGTCTTTGGGAGAACACAAGTCAATCTATAGCAAGTCCCTCCACATCTGTCAAAAATGTAGTCCAAAAGCTGGAATGTTCTATACACTTCTAGAAGGCGGCCCCTGTCAACCTGAAGCATTCTGGTGTTCACATCGATGAGGATGCTCTGGCTGACTTGGGGGAACAAGGGCTCCAGTGACTGGCCGGAAGCATCCTCAATGCTTACCTAGAAGTAGCCTTGCTTGATGGGGAGCAGGGCTTCGAAACTCCAACACCTCTGACATGTCAGTTAGATACTTCTTTGTCAGAATCTGTCCCTGTAGCCACCCTATGGAATAATGCCTACTATGGCAATTTGTTCTAACCCTTTCATTACCTAAGTGGTCCTGATTTGAATTTCTTGTTCATATAATGCATTTTCAGTACTGGAAGGCATACTGAAATGAATGAAAAGTATTTTTTTGAACTTATGTGAATTTTGATACAGTTGTGTGGGACACTCCCTAAGTGGACTCTAGTGATGTGAGACCTATTTATTCAGATCCATACAGTTATAAAGAGGCTAAAAAGATTGGTGCACAGTATATTTGCTGAGGGTCACAAGAAGGTTAAATTGTTGAATGACCTGCATCCACCAGTGATGGAAACATCTATGGTGAATAGAAACTGCTCAGTGCAGACTTCTTCATGTAGTGACAAGGGGTCCTATGTGCCCTACATGCCATACCTTAAATTCATGTCTGGGCCTAGGCACTGGAAGTATTTTGTGGCATCTCTGGCTTCTCACTGAAAACTTTCCCTCCCAAAAGCCAAAACGTCTCCAGATATTACTAACTGTCCTTTTGGGATCAAAGGCTCTCTCATTGAGAGCCTGAGATTTAGTGCAAATACGATTTGCACTGAACTTCACTGTTATTTGAGGGCTAAAGGAGCAGTAAATGGAGGGAAAGGGGGGCAGGAAAACAGCAGAGGTTTGAGTCCTGGGTTCTCAGATATGGGTTTCAATCCTAGCACCCCAATTTCCAGACTGTGAGAGCTTGGGCAAAGCTGTCTCCTTCCTCGGCCTCTGTCCTCAGCCTTAGGAAGACTCCAGTGAGGCCTCAATCATCCATCTGTCACTGTATTGCACTGCGGTGTTTTGAGAATTGCTGTGATGCTCGAAGTGAAACCATAGTTCTTTAAAATACCAACAGGGTCATCCATGCTGGACAAGTTTTAACAGAACTTCAGATTAACACAGACAGATAAAGGTAGCTAGTGATCTGCTTCTGAAAATTGGCCAGTGAAAGCCCTAAGGCACATTGTGAGAAGACAAGCCCACGGGTTGGAAGGCAGTCAGAATACACAGTGGACAGAGCAATGGTCTCCGAGTATACTGTGATCATGAAGTTGGCAAGTGTGCACTGTCAAATCAGAATAGCTGACCCTCTGTGGTCTTTCAGACCCTGTAAACTGCACAGGAAGATATTGTCCATCTTTCTCAAAGGAGCGACTAGTGGGTTCAAACTGCATGCCTTTGCGTTGGCAGCAGAACTCCTTGCCAGGAACTCCGAAGCCAGGACCAGGCAATGTTACACATGGGATCACCATGGTCAGGGTCAACTCAACAACAGCTAATAATAATAAAGGGGAATAATTAGTGATATTAGATGTCAAATATCTGTATTGTTTGGCATTTGGTCGATGCTCCATTGAAGATCTGATAGTTGCAAAGCAGAGACTTGTTCTGAGTCCTGAGGTGAACTGACATGGCAGGTGGTTGAGGAAGAGACAGAGAAGAGCAGCCTTGTAAATAGAAATTCCAAATAATCCCCTCACCCTCACACTGGCTATTATTGAATTCCTGGGGCTTCCTTCATACCTTTGTTAACTTCCTTTTGCATTCCACCAAATCAAAGAGTTAGATGATCTTACAGGTTATCCTCTCCTCAAGCCCAGGTCTTCTGCTCATTCTATGGCCAACTTCTTTCCTATTTTTGGACCTCTTTTCTTCAGGAAGTCCTGGTTAAACCCTACTAACATGCAGTCACATGTAGGGAGGCAATAATGTTCCCATTTAGATATTCCTTTGTAAGAATCTGTTTGTTCTTACTGTTGTTTTGTTTTGGTTTGTTGATCTTGACACTTTTTACAGATGGATATTTCTAGACAACAGGGAGCCATGTTTCTTCCAAAGCCCAAGGGTTCAGCACAGGACAGGGCCTGCATCTGCCTAATCAGACCAGGAGCTCCCAAAACACTAGGATTGACATGAGAATAAGGCCTCTACCCTGTCTACACAAAGCAGTGAATGAGTCCACACACTGAAGATACAGCCTCCAACTGCAGGTAACTGGGAGCCAATTATATCTATTAGAGATGGTGAAGATGGAGCAGAGGGTCCAAGAGCCATTTCTCATCTTGTGTTGCCACCAGGCAGGCTGGTTGGGCTGGTCTTGAAAGAGGGCAAATCTCTGGAAGAGAGAGAGGATGGGCTCTTTCTTCTCCTTGGTTCTTGTCCTACCAAACACAGGACGTTCAATGATGATTGATAATAAACTGGTCAACCCAGTAATTCCACTTCTGTAAATAAAGATATGAACTTTAGTTATTCCCAGAGATGAGTGAAAAAAGATGCTGATTATAGTTCTTTATAATGATATCTCACCCTCCAAATCCATAGGTTATAGAATTAGTTATGCACATGATTCACCAGTCACTCATAATATGTTTTCAAAGATTAGTCAATTATCTGGAAAAATAACTCATAATATCAAGGAGGGAACGACCATGTACAGAGTCACAGAAAATTTTCTAAAGGAAAAAAAGAAAAGAGAAAAATCAAAGTGGTTGGTTTGTATTAAAATTTTCTAGATATATACAGGAAAATGTTAGTAATTTTGGGTTGTTATTTCTGTTGTGTATTGTTGAGTCAGAATGACCCATCCCTCATCTTCCTGGATGTTTTCAGAGGAGATTGCTCTAGAATTCTCTAAGCCCATTCTTCTCCTGCAGAGCAGCTGGTGGATTTGAACTGTGTGCCTTTTGAATTGCAACACAATTTGTTCCCACTAGGCCATCAGATCTGCCTTAGTTACTTTCACCAGAAAACTGGTGGCTGTTGTTGTAGTTAGGTGTCCTCCAGTTAATGACAAGTCATAACAATCCATGAACTACAAAGCAGAACCCTGATTCATCTTGCTCCATTCCCAGCATGATGTCTTTTTCCAAGGGCTGACCCTTCCCAACAATATGCCCAAAGTATGGGAGACAAAGTCTCGCCATCTTTGCCTCTAAGAAACCCCCTCCAAGATAGAGTTGTTTGTCTTTTGAGCATTCCATGATATATTCAATAATCTTTGCCAACATTACAATTCAAAGACATCAGTCCTTTTTCTGTTTTCCTTTTTCATTGTCCAACTTTCACACATTTATGAGGTGATTGAAAATATCACCATTAGGATGGGTCTATGCAAATAAGGTATGTAAAAGTTTAGTGTGAAAAATTAGTCAGTCTTACCAATTTTAAACCGAGCTTGAATCAGGGGAGGGAAATACGAATTTCACTACCATCCAGAAGAGAGAACCAAAAAGTGAAGTATGTCTTTTGGACCTAAAATCTCTGTGCTAACAAGAGACAGAGAGCTGTAATACAAGAACAATGTGATGTAGTATGAGGTGGCAATATAGAGGGCAGCAGTGACAGAAAACAAGAGAACAGAGGTATTGCTGTGGCTTCCTGGCCCATGGAGCAAGACAGCTTGCTGGCAGAATGAGAGTGTTAGGGTACTTTCCAAGGAAGCCATACCTGCTGACTCAAAGAGTTAGAGATAAGAAACTTCAGGGTTGGGCTTACTGGCAGAGTTATGTTACTGTTATATGACATTTAGTTGAAATTAATTCATAGCTGACTCAAGTTTTCAGAGGCTGTAAATAATGCAGGAGGTGATTGTCCATTTTTCTTCCATGGAGCAACTGGTGGATTTAGATTGACTGCACAACTCCTTACCACTAAGCCACTGGAATAGGGGTGGCAAATAATTAGCAGAGCAGAGCAATAAAGTCTATACTTTGAAAGAGCCTTGGCTTTTAATATGACTGAGAAAGACCTGTCTTAAATAAAGAGTTGTATCCTAGGGCTCTCACTGTGAATTGTAACCAGTTACTTCACTAATAAATCCCAGCATCATGAACATTATCTTTGAGTTCTGTGTGGCCATTGCAATGAATTATTGGACTTGGTAGAAAAGTGGTGAGTTTGATGGCAAGGATGATTAATGCTAGACTTACAATCAGGTATGGAGTGTGGGAATATGTCTGACATCTTAGAAATTGTCTTTT